GATGAGGGCAGCGAGCTGCTGGGTATCAGGCTGGCCGAGGTCGAGGGGGAGCGAGGGTGAAGTCAGCTCTCGACGTTGACTAGCTTGACATCTCCGTGCTCGACATCTCCAACAATGAGTTCACGACCCGAGGCCTCCGGGCCATCGCTCGACAGGTCCCAATTCCTACCCTCCCTCTCCTCCCTCCCCCTTGCTCCCTCCCCCTCGCTCCCTCTTCCTCCCCTCGCTCCCTCCCTCTTCCTCCCCTCCCTCCTCCTTCCTCGCTCGCTCGCTCGCTCGCTCCCTCTCCTTCCTATCGCCCCCCCCCCTTTTATTTTTCTTGGTCTTCTTCTTGTCTTGCTTTGGATCATCTCATCCGTCTCCTTCCTCTACCTCATTCCGCATGTCAGGCTTGCAAGCTGGAGAGTTTGAGTGTCGGAGGAAACGACCTGAGCGACGCGGGGGAGGAACTTGTCGAGCTGATCAGGAGAAACAAAAACCTGCGACACCTCGACATGTCAAACATCGGACTTGATGCTCCCGGTCGCTTTCTTTCCTTGTCTCCCTCCTCCTGCTTGCTGCTCTTGACTTGCCCTGGTTCTCAGATGTCAAGAGGATCGCCGAGGCAGTCAGAGACGCGAGCAGGTCAAGAGCGACTTTGGGGAGGAGGACGAGGACGAGGAGGGGAATGAGAATGGGGAGGAGGAGGAGGAGGAGGGGGAGGGGAGGGTGACAATTGGCTTCAGCTTAAGCTCTCTTGTCCTCGACGACAATGACTGCGCTGCCGCCATGGAGCTGCTGGGAGGCTGCGAGAGTCTGACGTATCTCTCCATTCGCAACGCAGGTGAAAGGAAACGATCACCTTCTCGTGCTGCTGCTTCAACCACCCTCATCTTTCTTCTTCTTCTCTCCTCCATTTCTTTCCCTCCCGCTATGCTGATTGTCTGCTTCCCGCCTCTCGCCTTGTGGCTTGTCCGTCTCCTTCTCTTCTCTCATCTTGATCTTCCTCGCCTTCTAAGGAGCAGCAGGTCTCGACGACGCCTCCTGCCTTCTCCTCTGCCGGCAAATCGCGATGGGAGGAAGGAGAACTCTCAAGGCAAGCACAGCAAACCTCCGCACCTTCCTCTTCTCTCCTCCATCTCTTTCTGCCTCTCTCTCCTTCCTCCCCTCCTTTCCTCTTTCATTTCTCTCTCTTCGCCCTCCCCTCCTTCCCTTTCATTTCTCTCTCTCCGCCCTCCCCTCACAGAAGTTCTCCTCTCTTGTTCCCCTGCTTTCCCGTTCTTCCACTTCATATTATCTTTCTTCATGCTTGCATTCACATCTAACCTCCTTCTCTCCCTTCTCTCCTCCTTCACACTTCTCTCTTTTCTCCCTTCCCTTCCATCTCCTCTCCTTCTATTGTTTTTGTCTCCTCCAGTTGGATTGTCGGGGGAACCGAATGTGCACGGACAAGTCAAGAAGCGTTATGATGGGGACTGAGAAGCTTGTGAAAGGGTTTGAGTTCAAGATCTGAGCCGAGAGATGCGGAGGGAGGGAGAGAGGGAGGGGGATGAGGATGAGGATGAGGATGAGTTGTGTTTGTTCGTTTTCATGTATCATTTCTTTGGTCTGATCTCATTGTCTTGTATCGGATGTAGCCAGAGAGATTCCATTTGACGATTCTGAAAAACAAGAGGGGGAAAGAAAAGGGAAAAGGGAAGGGGAGGGAAGAAGGGAGGACAAGAGGGAGGGAGATGGAGAGTCAGGTCAAGACAATCGAATAGAGCAGAGCAGCAGACGACAGAAACTATCGAAAGTTCCTATCGTATGAGACAAGGTTCTCTCAAACTTCCACGGGAGTTGAGGTACCTGAGCATCGTATCCCTTGGACCAGTCGTAGCCGACGGCATAGCCGAACACGTCGCCGGTATGGTTGAAGTCGCAGCACGTGATGGCATTCTACATGGTTGCTCGTGATCTCAACAAGGTCACGTGACTCTCACCGGCAGCTGCTGGAACCCCTTCAACCTTTGCTTCGCATCCTGACCATCATTGTCAGCGTCGTCATTGTCATCAACGCCCAGCTCAAGCTCCTGCTCCCTCTCCCTCTCCCTCTCCCTCTCCTTGTCCTGCTCCTCCTTCTACTCCTCTGCTCATCTTCACCTTGTCCCAGAAGTTAAAGGTTCCATCGGACCCCGCTGCATCGTCGAGTCATCGTCCTCTCACGATCCTCCTCCTCCTCTCACCCGTGCAGAACGTGCCATGCAACTTATGGAACACAATAGCATTGACCGCGTAGATGTCCTGCCAACACACGTCGGCTGCTCCTCCTCTCCTCCTGCTTCTCTTCTCCCCGACCTGATTGCGAGCGTCGCGATGACACTTGAACGCGAAGTTCTTCCCCTGAACAAGGAGAAAAGTGAAAATCAGGAGGAGGACAACCTGGAGGAGGTGGTGGTGGATGTCGAGAAGAAGAAGCAGGTGGTGGTGGTGGTGGTGGTGGTGGTGCTGCTGCTGCAGGAGGAGGAGGTGGTGGAGTTTTGTTGATGTTGATGTTGATGACGATGTCGTTGATGGCCATCTTGTTGTGGTGGTTGATAATGATGATGCTGATGCTGTAGTTTAAGTTGTTTGTTGTCGTTGATGATGTTGACATTGTTGTTGATGATGATGATGATGATGATGATGATGATGATGATGATGATGTCGTTGTTGAGGATGTTGAGGTTGTTCATGTTGTTGTTGTAGTCACTGCTGCTGCTGCTTCACCTGGTCGGAGTCTTGGATGTGATAGATCTGCACGCGACCTTCGATGGACCCGATGGCGTACCTGAAGACCCCATGACATCACCAACTCATCGCCCTCACCCTCATCGCTCATCGCCCTCATCCCCTCACCCGCGGTTGTCGCTGAAGAGCGCGACGGTGCGGACCTGATGCCTCAGCGGCGACTGCAGGCCAGGCGTTAGCTGGGCCGGGAGCCGCCCGAGCTTACGAGGTGAGTCTTCATGGGCTGCTGCGGGTTAGCGCGGATGTCAAAGACCTGGGAGGAGGTTGAGGAGCGCGAGGAGAGAGGGCACGAGTGTCACGTGAATGTTCTTGTCTGCTGTAGCCACCACTGCGATGTTGTCCCGCACGTCCATGGCGTAGACCCTGCGAGACTGTCAGCCTCCTCCTCCTCCTCCTCCTCCTCCTCCTCCTCCTCCTCCTCCTCCTCCTCCTCCTCCTCCTCCTCGAGCTCTTGTCAAACCTTTCTGGCAGGGTCACGGTCGCTGCTGGAGTTCCGCTGCCAAGAGAGTTGGAGGGCCAGTATTTGATAGTTCGGTCCCAGCTAAAGGAGAGCAGGAGTCACTTCGAGAAAGAAGCGTGACAGACCTTGACCAACGAGAGAAGAGAAAACAAGAAGAAGAAAAGTCGAGGAGTTGTGACAAGTGATGTGGTACCTCGCAGTGACCACCATGCTGTGCGGATCGACCCAATGGACACACTTGATGGGCTGAAACAATCTTATCGACATGCTCTCTCTTCATCTTCCTTCACCTGTTCGTGCTGTGCGAACTGAATGACTTGCTGCGAGCCGAGATCCCAAACCTTCCCTGCAGCAAGTTGACATGCAGCAGGTGCCATGCACAGAGCTCACCTTGCTTGTCTGCCGATGCGGTGAAAACTTTGGTGCCCATGTTGTCCCAACAGGCGCCAAGAACTGAGAGACATTGTCAGCAACAAGCAGCGTCAGGCTTACCTCGAGGCCGTCACTCACCTGGTCCCGTGTGCGGGTTTTGCGTCATTTGCATCTTACGGCACGTGAGCAACGGCAGCGTCTCAGTTGAATCACCTCAGCTCGCGACTGGATCGCAAACCCGTTCTTCTGAAAGGCATACAAGGATACCGAATTATCCCACGCAGTGCAGACAAGATAATCCTGTTGCACGTGTCAGCGTGACCAGACTCTTGCAGCCATGTCCTCGCCTTGTTCGGCGCAAACTTTATGCAAGAAACGGAGTCTTGAGGAGCAGGGTTGATCTGAAGCAGCACACATGAGCTAGGCAACGGCATGTGCAGGCCATGCCTGGTGATCGTGCTGCCGGCTTGCATCTGCTGCGACGATGCCTGACATGACCAACTGCACGTGGCAGCATCAGTGCCGTGTAGATCATCTTCAAGGGTAGCGGATCATCGATGCCCGTGCTCCTCTCGTTGCCACCACCAGTCGCCATCATCGCACAACTTCCTCCCTCGAGATTCTCACACGAGATTCTAGCTGACCGTCTGCAGCTGGTTCTAACGTGGTCCACTTCCATCACAACCCCATCACAACCAGAATCCCTTCTTCTTTCACATTCACATTCTCTTCCTCGTTTCTTCTTCCTCATCTCTTGCAATTCTGCGAGCACTCCCACCTTCGCTTCCAGTATCAATGCAAATCTCCCGCCTATCAGTCTCTCTGCACCAACAATTGCCAACTCTTATCAACGCTCGTCAACGCTCGTCGCTTGTCCTTTCTGTCACGTGCTCCTCTGCTCTGCTCTGCTCTGCTCTGCTCTGCTCTGCTCTGCTCTCCCCTGCTCTCCCGCCTTTGTTTGCCCACTCCTTGGCTATGCGAAGCATTTCCAGCACGGTAACCACCCCCACCCCCCTACCGCACCTCGAATTTCAGGGGGGATGGAGCCACTACATGTAACCACGAATATGGTCGACCACTTACTTTTAGTCCGCAGACTTGAAGCTTTCAGTAGATCATCCGAA